TTGTTCAATAACAAACCATGAATCTTGACAAATGAACCCACTTGTTTGACATTATTTGAAAAACTCATAACTCGCTTGCTTCTGATGGTCACTTCCCCCCTTTGAAATTAAATTGAAGATGGACTGCATTCACATTCTGACAGAGGGAAAGGGCTTGTTAACCTTGCTTGTGACTCTGTGCTGCTTAACGTCAGCATCCTTTTCCTTCGTGTTTATACTTGGGCGCACCAGGGATCCTTGCAGGGAGTCACCCTCCAGAGTTCCCTGCAAGGAAGCCGTTTGTGTTTCCTGGTCCCCACAGCACAAACAGGTGAGACTCTGTATGCGCTGTGGTTTCTGGAGTCGGACTCCCTTGGTTCAAATTGGGGCTCCAGCTGTGTGACCTTGAGAAGGTCATTTGCCCTTTCTGTGCCTCCGTTTTCTCATTTGTATACTGACAAGAAATTGATGAAGATAACAAGTAACATGGCTTAGCAAGCTCCCAGTATGTTACCTCTAATTATCAGACTCTTTATTTTAAGAATACCATCTTCCAAAACGGGCGTTAAGTCCTTTTAGTTAATTTCTTAAAGAGGACATGGGTACGGACTCGCTGAGTAAGCAGCCGGGACATGTGGTGCAGAGGGCTTTAGCCCCCATGTCATAATCCTAAACAGACCCTCCCAGCAATGCCACCATAAACAAACATCTAAGAAAAATCTGCATCCTTGCCAAGCATATGCAGCTTCAGGAGAATCCTCTTTCCCCCTCCTCCCATCCAGTGTCACCCGAAGCCCCTCTTCTGAAAATCTGCTGTTCCTACTGCTTCTAAGAAGCTGACACTGCAAATTCACAGCAACGCCTCACCCTGTTACAGCCCAGTGTTGCAGACTTCTGTATTCCCAGACTGTAAGTCCTCACCACTCCTAAATAGGATTTATAAACTGACTTTGCCCAATATAGCAAAGCCAATTTTATCTGAAGGAAGTAGTGTTTTTTTAACTAATATTTTACAATGTCTTTCCCAGTGCCTCAAAATGATTTCAAAGTCAATCGATGATAAAATAGCAAATCCATCTAAAAACAAAGAATTGGGGAAGAAATCAGAGCCACTTTTAATCAGGGAAGTGGCTGCTGTAACTTATTAACCCCTAAAGGTTATTGACATGCTACTTTTTTTTTTTAAGATGCTGTAGTTCAGTCATTTGTCTTTGGCAGCAAAAGCATACTAAACCGCTTTAGCTTTTCACAAATTAATGCATTTAAGCCTACGTGTTTGTCAGACATTCTGGGAACCTTTTGGCAAGATGTTGTTAATAAAGGATGTGTGTTTTGAAAATGGGTGGAGAGGAAGGAATTTATAATTCCTGCAACAAAAGCATGATTTACAGTGTGGACCGCTACCTGAATCATTCATTGTATCCTCCACAGATAAATGAAAATATTGAGGATTAGCACGAGTGTTGGCCCTGGGTCTTACAACCTGCGCAGTGATTGGTTCAGTAACACTGAAAAAAGTCTACATCTTTCAGTAGAATTTCTGGAACTCCCAAACAAGAATATGACAGAGAAAACCACCTTCGATTGTGTCTATTTTTCAAGGGGCTTTTGAAATACGTCCTTTCTCTACAACAATATGGTGCTTCCACTCCTATTTTTAAATTATATTCCTCAGGTCCCTGCATACAAATTCCCTGTCCTCATCCCTGCTCTGGTGATGCTTTTGACTGTTTTGTTTAATTTTTCTCAGTGAATACATTGAGGGGCCCTTTGGAGGGCACGTGTATTGTTTTAGGCACCATGCAATTTACTAAATGGTGTCCTGTTATAGACATGCAGGCAAAGACCCCGGGGGCGAGAAAAGAATAAAGTGAACATATATTGATCATCTTGCAGTTGGTGGTTTCTTATTTGATCCATCAAGGGCTCTCTCAGTCTGAACTGGTCCAGCCGATCTGTGATACATAAACCTGGAGACTTTTCTCTGGCTCCTCAGTGGTTTGAAAGGCTATGCAATGGGAAAAACTGCTTTAAACAAAACCTCGTTTTGAAAGAAGCCTGAGTACGGAATGGAATTCAAAGAATTTGGAGAAAGGGGAGGTGAAAGTGGTAAGAAACAGCTTTTTTCAAAGCCCTGGGAGATTGAAAAGCATAAAGCACATAAAGGAAGTTGGAGATAAATCCTATTTGTCCTGTTGTGAGATACTCAGATCGGGAGGCTACTTCAGCAGGGTTGCGTACAACACCTACTATGTGTGGGACTTGTAAAGACGTAGAACTTAAGCATTCTGGGGTGTCCGAGGAGTGAAACAGAATTCTTAGGTCAAGAAGGAATTTGTTTTGTAATGTCAGCCAAGAAACTTTATTCCACTTTCTGCAGATATTAAATTCCAGACGGCAATGAATGTTTGTTACTCGATTCAAGTATCAAGAACAAGAAAGTATTCTCCAGTGGAATGCATCTTAAAACTCTACGTTAACAATGTTGGTGCTAGATTAAATCATACTAAAGCTGTGGTTGAGAAAAATGTTCATTTTTTTTTCAAAGAAGGGAGTTGGAGGCTCTGGGGTTTGATCACATCACATCTGCTCGCTCACCTTAAACTGCCCGCAAACTCAGCCAGTTTGTGTCTGTGTCTGATGGCTCCATCTTATGATTCCCCTCCCCTACGCCCCTCTGGTTGCTAAGAGGACAGAGGCGGAAGGAGTCCGGATAGGGAGCCTGAGGTCCTGTGCACATGAGGCTGGCTCAGAGCCTGCCTCGGGCATCAGGGGAATTTGGAGGAAAGGATGATTCTGGAAACCACTCTGGGATTTTGGTGGCTGACTGTAGTTTGAGATTTCAGATTAGGGGGCTGATGAAGCCAACACCAAGGTTCCTAGCACGGAGGCTGGAGGAATGACAGAAAGACAGAATGGGTTTTGGGGTCACTGGGATACAGGATAATGGGGTGCAGGAGGATGGCTGTGTCCCAGGTCTTGGGCAAGTCAAGGGAGGGTCCCTGGCTTTATGCAGTACAGAATTCAAGGACTAGCCATAGTAGGGTGGAAGTGAGTTCATTCGGGGAGATACATGCCCCATAGACGTCTCTGGAGGAGGGAGAGGGAGAGGCCACGGGGTGCAGTGCTGCTAGTTTATGTGGGCTCAGTAACTCTGTATGCTAACAAGTGGGAGGATTGTTCCAGCTACTTGGGAGAAGGGGCGGGGGTTCCCAGGAGGTGGGCCACCACCCACCTTTTGATGGTGGTCAGCCTGGGAACTGTCATGGTGCCTGTGGGAGTGTCATTCACCATGTTAACATATACAGTGAGTGTATAATGAAGCTCAAGGTCTCCTGGGAGTTGAATCTTCTGCCATCTTGGTGTTAACTGCTGTGTCATCTCTTGAATGGCCGTGCCCTGCCACCTCCTTCCTGGCTCAGTTGTGATGGGTGGCTGTGTGGGGAACTGGGAGATGAGAGGCCAGGTGTAATGAGTTAGATTTTTACATTCTGCGTCGCAGACCCCTTATCTTTGAGCCAGTAGAAAATACGGACTGGGGCAAATCTGAAATCCCGGTAGGTGCAAGACAGATTATTGTAGCAAGGAAAAGGCTACATACTGTCTCCTGTCCCTATGGGCTAAGTGTTGTGAGCACTCAATTTTTATTGTACAGGATGTGGCCTAAGTATTAATAACCACCCATTTGCTGTTTGGTAAGTGCTCACCTCTTGCCCCTGAGAGAACAGCTAATGAATCTTCAGATTAGAACTCAGCCAAAAGCGTCGCCACTGGAATCACAATCAATGTATGCATTGTGTGTTTAGAGAACATTCTAGATCACAGTTGGAGAAATCTGGGGTAGATTTAAAGACTGATATCTCTGGCAGGACAGATAGGAATCACAAACGTCATCATCATTATTATTCTTGAACTTTTGTTATTGCAAACACTTGCTGTGCACTCACGGATGTCCAGGAACCATTTTGCTGGCATTAGCTCATGGAGTTTTTCCAAACATTCTATGACGTAGGAGAGTGCTAACCTGACCATCCTCACATTCATGAGAATGCTGCATCTCAGGGAGGCCAAGACACCATCCAAAGGTCACACAGCCAATAACAGACACTTCGGGGACTCAAACCCTGACAGTCGATGTAATTCTAGGACTTTTGAAGATATGCTTGCATGAAAAAGAAAGAAACATTATTGAGTGATGTATCTGCTAATTTTGCATGTGTAATTATAAAGATCCCCACACTGTCTATTCCTCCAAGTTGTTTGGAGGGGGGTGCATCTTACCATTTCTATCCTGTCGTAAAGTAGTGTGATGGGTTAGACCAATGATTCTCTACTGAGGGACTTCTCCCGCCCCAGGGGACACTTGGCAGGGTGTGGACATGTTTTTGGTTTCCGCAACTGGGGGATGGGTGCTACTGGAATCTGGTGGGCACAGGCCAGGGATGCTGCCACCATCCTACAAGGCAGGGAACAGCCCTGCAGCAAAGAATGAGCCTGTCCAATTGCTCACTAGGGCCCTGGCTGAGACCCTGGGTTCGAGTAATTCAATGGGGATCTTCACTGTCGGGAGAAAATGGTGGCTCAGTTTACAAACAAGCGGCAGTGACCCGGATGGAGCAGATTTGGGGATGGGAGAAAGAGCTAAGATGGCTTCATAGCATCGCTGTAGAGGGATCGTGCTGGAGAGGAGCGGTGAGGAAAGCGGTAGGAGGATGTTTCTTGGGAGGAGAGGAGGGAGACGGACCAGAGGCGCACTAGAGATGCTGGCTCTCAGAGGTGAGCCGGGCCGGCAGAGCCTCGGTGGCCGCAGGAGGCAGCTGCGCTGTGCCCATCCAAATGCAGGGCCAGAGCGGGGGAAAGAGGGAGCCATGTCGTCAGAAGGACCGCAGGGCAGACCCGGGCACGTGTGTGCGTGTGTGGATTGGAGAGGCCGAGAAGCTCGCATTGCTTTCGAGTCGCTCTGCTGGCCTGCGAGCAGGTGCTGGCTTTGTTTTTCCAGTAACAGCCTTTTCTGTTTCCAGCAGTCCTATGCACCAGCTCCCCACCCCATGGCTCCTCCCAGCCCCAGCACAAACAGCAGCAGCAACCACAGCAGCAGCCACAGCAGCGGGGAGCAGTTGAGTAAAACCAACCTGTACATTCGAGGCCTCCCGCCAGGCACCACTGACCAGGACCTTATCAAGCTGTGCCAACCGTAAGTGCCCCCGCGCTCTGCGCCGCTTCCGCACGCATCCTCGCCCGCGGGGGCTCGGTCCGCGTGCGGCGTGGTTCTGCGCCCGGTCTCCCCGCTGAGGCCGACTGCGCTGCGCAGACGGGACTTGAATGTGCGATCCGAGCCCAGCTTGCTTTTGAGAATGGAGTTCTTTTGCCTTTTGTTTTGAAAGTGGAGGTTCTTGAGCAGAGAGGCGTGGGGGTGCTGGCCGATATGCATGTATTGACCAGGAAGATAACGAGAAACCGCTGAGCTGAGTTCTCACACCTTGTGGCTGGTGGGTTCTCACAGGCCCTGTGGCTGGTGGAGTCAGGGATGAATCTCATGTAAGAAACAGCTGCTTCTTCTTCTTCTTCTTCTTTTTTTTTTTTTTTTTTTTGGAGAGGTCTTAGTGCGGGGAATCTCAAGAACTCAGAAGTGGTAGATTTCAGGATGGTCACCTGCTGGGTTGCAAAGCCTTTCTGGGTCAATTCTTGCTTGGAAAATGTAAGTTCAGCCAGGACCAAGTAATTGGAAAATTACAAGGCTGGTCCTTTAGTTTCCTGGAAAACATCTACCTCTAAGTCCAGTGAAGCTGTTCCCACTAAGGCCAAGAACCACATTCACCAAGGAGTTTTTTTATTTCCTAGGAAATACTGGCAGTGATTAAACACCCTTCCAAAACATTTTGTCTAATCTCTAATGTACCAGCACTTATGTTATTAACTCTCTTATTTCTGGGCACATAAATTAAACATATTTAAGTTCACCCTCCGAACAAAATTAACAATTGATACCAAATTGAGAATCCTAGACCTGTCTTTTTAGATTGCTGTCTGATTTTCAAAGTAATGTCACTACAGCTGTTTGTCATTTGATCAGGCCTGAGCTGGGTAATTTTCATTGTAGGGGGGAAATCTGTTACTCAATTTTTCTTTTTTCTCTTTGGCAATGCTTTTACAAGAAGGTTGAGAGGATATTTATTTTGTAAAATTTCCAACCTCTGAAATATTGGAAGAGGAAAAGAAGACAGATAGTATTTATTTGCCCTTGTTCTGGCTTTTAAGATTGGGAACAAACATCAAAACAACAGGAAGTGGCAAATAAACCCAAACATAAACACATAACTATATAATCATGTGACAAGGCGAAATGTAGATTAGAGCAGGGACTCCCTGCTGCTTCTTGACTGCCTTGATTTGTGGAAGAAGTAAGACAGAACATTGAAAAATAACTATTGATTTATTTTAAAGCAGTTTAAAAAGAAAAAGAAGGAAAGATGCCAGGGCTAAGATACACGAATATGTTAGTTTTTGGTCTATAAAGTACTGAAGTTGAGAATTGGAAGGTAAATCACTCAAACTTTTTTTTTTTTTAAACTTATTGCTACTTAGAAAAGTCTAAACTATTGTGAAAAGGAAAATCTTTGAAAATGTGTATTTTTTTTTTTGTTTTTGGGAGGGAGGGAGTTAGGTTTGTTTATTTGCTAATTTGTTTCATGAAGGTGCTGGGGATTGAACCCAGGACTTCGTGCATGCTAAGCACATGCTCTACCACTGAGCTCCACCCTCCCCCTTGAAAATGTGAAAGATGTCAGACTTAATGTTAGAAGCTTCCGATGAAGGATCTCCTGTAATGGATATTGATGTGAAAAAGAATGCTAGCTATTATCTTTGATTTGTATATGAATCTTATTCATAAAAAAAATATTGGTGGGTATTAAGGAAAAATGATTCCCCACTGCTCTGTATTACACAGAGAGCTTGTTGAAACACAGACATCTGGGCCCAAGAGACTGTGATTTGCTAGATCTGGAGCGGAGCCCGAGAATATGAATTTCAGTTGTCTCCCTGGTGTTGTCATGATAATGCTGGCTTTTTAAGAAGCACTTCTTTGTTGACTAAAAAAAATACAAGCAAAATCTAAAAGCTGAGAATTATGATTTATTCAGTGGACTTGCTGAGGACTTAAGCCCAGGAGGCAGCCTTTTAGAGAACACTGAGGGACTGCTCCAAAGAGGTGAGGGAGGAGCCAGGCTATATGGGGTTTTGCAACAAAATCCAGTTAGTCTGAACATCGAAAGATTCCCGTTCATTAAAGAAAACCAGACATCTCAAGTTAATGGATGTAGCACTCTTCTCTGTATGGGAAGATGCTAGAGTCTAGGCTAATTGACATCATTCCTTTGCTGTGTACCTGTGTACCTTAACGATCTAGGGTCGATATCCTGTTCTTTCCCATCCTGAGTCCCTGCAGGGTGCACCACTGGGGGTGGCTGCAGTGGCTGATGGCTTGATGGTGGTAACATCCTAGGTTTACTGATATGGCTGGCAACATTTTTCATCTCTGCATTAATACAAAGACCGCTGACTATTTCTAAGGCAGAACGCTTCACTTACTATGGGAAAGTACTTGAGGTGGAATCCTGTGTTTTAAAACCTACCCAGCCGGTGTGTGATCTTGTGGCAACTCATTTACTGTCTTTGAGCGTCAGTCTCCTCTCAAAAAAGAGTGAGTGGAAGTTGATGATTTCTAGGCTTCCCTGCAGCACCAGCGTTGTGCCACACAGCTGGCCTCTGACAGGTGCACCAGAGCCAAATGTTAAATATTCAGGGATTCTGTGACTTATTTGTTACAGACTCAGTATGTTGAAATCGGCCATGGTGGGAGTATTTATATCACAGAAATCAGCAAGCCCTAGAAACGCGGGCTTTTAAAATTCCTATACCTTTTTTTGAGAGCTCGTTTATGAACACACCGTTGGTGTAGCATTATACTATGAATTTCGGTGTCGATGTCTGTTTCTGCAGAGAATATTGCCAGCAATTTGTAAATGGAAAATGCTACAAGTTTTGGCATCTTTGACTCAAGGAAGAGGTTTGGTGACACAAGAATATTATTTTTGAGGAAAAAGAAAAGTTCTGTTAATGTTTCTTTTGTGCATTTGGGAAATTTAAAGAATGCTAAGGGATCAGAGGGTTTGATGACTTGTTCATACTCATTTTTGCTGGTAATGAGATCTGGACCACGCTAGCGTTATTGTAAAAATGTCTGTGGGTTCTTCAGTTACCGAGGTGGTCTGGACCTGGGGTTCATTGCTTAGATCTGGTTTCCTGGAGAATCTTAGAGAACTGATGTGGCTGGGCAGCACAATGTAGAGGGGATTTCTGTGCTCTGAGAGCTCTGGGTTTCACTCCTGGTTGTGCCAACAACTGGGTGTGTGGCCCTAGATGAGTGGCTTGTCTCCTCTCAGCTTTGGTTTCCCCATGTACAAGATAATGAGTTTGTACCTGGTGATATTTTATTGTTTTTCACTTTAAAATTCTGCTATTTCATGGAGGCCCTCAGTAATTGGCAGTAAAACCTAGGACAGAGGAAAATGGGGCACGCGAGGATGGTCATGTCCCAGATCTCACTTGAGTCCCTGGGATGCATCCCACCAAGTGAGGGTCCTTGGCTTCACGCAGGAAAGAATTGAAGAGTGAGACATAGTTGAGTGAAAGTAGGTTTATTCAGAGAGATGCACACTCCATAGACAGAGCACAGGCTGTCTCAGAAGGCCAGAGAGGCCACAAGGCGTGGGAGTGGGTGTTTAGTTTAAAGTCAAAGTGGGTACACACCCTGTAGATGGAGTGCAGACCCTCTCAGCAGAGAGAGTGGTCACGAGGCATGGGGCTTGTTGCTTTTTATGGGCTCAGTACCTTCATATGCTAACAAGTGGGAGGATGATTCCAGCTACTTTGGGGAGAGGGGCTGGGAGTCCTAGGAACTGGGTCACCACCCACTTTTTGACCTTGTATGGTCAGCCTCAGAACTGTCATGGCACCTGTGGGAGTGCCATTCACCATGCTAATGTTTTACAATCAGCGGGTAATGAAGCTCAAGTTCTACTGGAAGTCAACTCTGCCGCCATCTTGGGCCTCAAAGTCTACTGGGAGTTGACTCTTCAATGGCTGTGTCATTCCTTTAATGGCTGTGCCCTTTCCCCTTGCCTCCTGTCTCACCTACTCTGGGCCACCTTTTTACATCTTTCGCCATCCTTCTTTGGCAGTGTTGGCAGGGGCACTACCTGAACTGATTCAGCTACATGCATATGACCTGGCAGTTGGGGATGCCTTTGTTAGAGGCCATTGTAGGCCGTTGGTAAAATCCTGGTTTCCTCTCTTGTGTTTGGGGCTCTTGGGGTGCTCACTGCTGTCTTACATTAGCGGTCTTCTAAAGATTCAAGTCACTTTGCATTCCTACTATTCATCCAACACTTCAGAATAATTTTACCTACAAAACAGGTAATATTTGTAGATTTAAATGTACTTGCCATCAGGATCAATTTTCCATCATTATTTCTATGAAATTATAAGAACTTTTAGAGTTACTATTTCCTTATATTATAGGAAATGCACTCTTTGCTAATATCCATAGTAATAAAATAATTGAAAACAGAGATATATAAAAAAGGCATATAGATATATCCAGTTATCTGGCATTAAAATACAATATCCATATTAATACTAATGGGCAGCAAGAAAATGATATTAGAGACCAGAAATTGCATTACTTCTCAATGTGTAATCTGAAAGCAAATTCTTATTAAGGGTTTCCATTCGTATTTATCACAAAAGCTCTTACGTTTGGATCACAAGTAACATCAAAGAAAAGAAGACAGGAGAACAGACATAAAGAATGATTTTACTCTATGGAAAGGCTCTCCAGTTCTACTTCTGTTTTGGATGAATACATTGCACTGTGTGTCTTGTAGGAAATACTAGAAAGACCTTGCAGCGTCTTTACCTTGAGAAATCTCAAGGAGCTTTATTGTGTACTCGATCAGGAAAGACTCCCAGAGCACCCAGGCTAGTATGCCAGGGAGTGTGCTGAAGATGCAGTGGTGAGTGAATTTCGACAGAGGTCTTGCTCTGGCATAGATTATGTTCTAATAGGGAAAATGGAAATCAATGGAATAATCGTGTGATTTGATATAAAATTGCATTGATAAATGCAGGAAA